CACCAAGCCACACCACGCCTACCAATCCACACCCACAGAACTTGTAGTAAAAAAATTGAATCCCACCACTGATATCAACCTACAATTTGTTTAACCTTAATTAATAAACCACAATTAGTTGCATTTGCAATGTACACTGTCACATATATTTGTGTATGTATATATGTGTATCTGTGCGAATATATACAGACTTTCTCAGTGAACACATCTGCATGTGCGTACCTCTCACAGACACACACACTTTTTTTTTTTTGCAAATTCCAGTCCCAGCAATTTTTCTATCAAGTGCGCACAACCAAACATATTTTAATGTAAACCAGCCACTTAACAGCAAGAGTTCTCAGTCTTGGGACAATATAGCAGTTGTTTGGTGAAAAGGGTGAGGATTGCAAATGACATAAGGAAGCATCATTTTGAAATGGATAACAGTGCGAAGAGAATATCCATTCTTGTAACAAAGAAGCAGGTATCTGCGTATTAGAAATTCATATACCCCTGAATTACTGAGTTAAATAATATTAATGAGTTCCAGTTCTAAATTCAACAGATTCAGGCTTCACCGCATAGAAGAACCTGCTTTCCATCTGATGCCTCCCAGATTTCTTTCTAGCTGTCAAACATAACAGACATTCTATGAACAGGGTACATTTTTTTCATTGCGCTCACCTTTTGTATTATGCTCTGTGCTAAGAACCCAAGATAAATAGTTGATGCTGCATTATGAGAATGGAAGATATTCTTTTAAACATGACAGTCTATGTGCCAAGTTTTGGAATGTATGACTCATCAAACTTTAATGAAGCCAACATTTATTCAGCTAAATTTGGGGAAGGTCATAGTTTTTACAGAAGTAAAACAATGACATAAACTTTACCCAAGAAGAAATTGAGAGTTTATTCACATTACCTATCCTCAGAAGGTTCTATCATGTCCTATCATCAGAACATTCTGGCAACTGTTTCTGAAGGGCAGAATTCCTATTAATCTCTCATTGTTGGAATGTGTTTTTCTGCTTCCCTTGGCTCTGTGCTTTAACCTGGGGGCGCTGGTGTGGGACAAGGTCATTTCTTGGTTATGTTCAATGTTCAATTGTGACTTTATACTTTTCCCCCACTTGCTATGGGAAAATCGTTTGATTGTTTACATGTTATTTACATTTTTATCTGCCCAGAGCCATATATATAACTCCACCAAATAATAATAATACTAATAAATATTGTACTTTGATGTAACTATTCCAAGTAATGTGCCTTTTATAAATGACGTGGTGGTGATTTTTCAATGCTGATAATGTTCAAGTGGTGATCCAGATATTTTGGGATTGCACCTTGTTTTGGGATTACCATTGATACTATCTTCTTCTGTCGGAGTTCTTTTTAATATTATTTTTGTTTTCCCCAGGCTACC